CACATCATTTACTGTGCGGGGTGAGCAATAATCCCATGTTTAAACAGGAGCAGAGGCTTGGACTTGGACTTGGACTTGGGAGTGATGCTGTTGCTCTGTGTGTGTGTGTGAGAGTGTGAGTGTGTCAGTGCGGGGGCAGACGGACCACTGCCAGGACACAGTAATCGCTGCGATGACAGAAAGAGGGATAACAAGCCATCAGATTTATTCCCATGCTCCTCCTCGGGGAGGGGATTAGTGGACACTGGCAGGACAGGATTTCATTCCTCAAAGGAGGACAATTAATCCTGAACTGCAGACACCACAAAAAAAAAAAAAAAAAAAAGTAAGACATATATTGTATGTACTGGTAAAACCATTAGGGGAGCTAATCACAGTGTTGGAGCGTAAATAAAAATCACTGAGGTCAGACACTGATCCTGTTTTCTACACTACGTCCTCCTGCACCGGTGTGAACAAACACACACACACACACAGGTTTAATCAGACAGTACTTGGGAGACCATGTCAGCTCTAATCTCCTTTCATGCAAACAATTACATGTTCAAATTCTAATAACGTCCTGCGTCGCTCCGGTAGCCGTGCAGATTGTGTCACGCAGACATGGAGTCAAACAGACGCACAGCTAATTAGGCGGCGGACACCAGACAGACAGACAGACAGACCTGCTCGGGTTGTATGGTTTCCAACACTAACGAGTTTTCTTTCTTTCTTTTTTTTAATCTAATTCAAAGGGCCTGTTGTAGAACGACACACCAGAACTGTCAGACTGGGCCCGGGAGAAAAACTGGTCCAAACTTTTGCTTTGAAAAGTTAGAGAAACACATTTGTTGGTAACATGGAGGTTCGTTCTGATGTCGTTGACTAACAAGAAGAGTCTGGGTTTTGACCCCTGATACTTCCTGTGATTCACACTACGTTCACACAGCATTAGATATTTATTAGTAATATTCATCCATCCATTTTCATCCACTTATCCGTTACCGGGTCGCGGGGGCAGCAGTCGCCACCCAGATCACATTGCACCGTACCAAACCTTCCTGCGGGTGGTGAGTCCACTGGAAGGTACCAACCGCCCTAACCGGGATTCGAACTTGCCCAGGAGGTGAACCCTGGGGTTCCACACCAATGACAGAGACATTGCCTCTGGGCCAAAGCGCCACTAGTAATATTCATGTTTAATAATAATAAAAAAAATTTTAGTTTTTAGTTTTCTTTATTTTATTTTTAAAATTCATCACGCGGCCGGATCGAACACCCTAGCGAGCCGGTTTTGGCCCGCGGGCCTTATGTTGGACACCCCTGCATTAAACATGTGGGGGTTTTTTTTTCACTTGAATTGAATTCCGACACAGCCCTCGCTGCTTCAGTCACATTAGCAGAGTGTTGGTGAGACACGTGACGTGGTTCACGCGTGCATGTTAATGTGAATGGTTGGTTAGAACCAGTTGCTGCCAGAGGAACGACAGTTGGCCTGGGTAATTGACTTCTCATCTGGAGTGTGTCTTTAATGGCAGAGGCTGGCGTTACGTGTCGGCCCAGCTCCTGGATAAGGAGCTGACAGAAGGTAAGACGAGGTAGAGAAGTGCAGAGGACGACACAAGAGGCGAGAATATGAGACACTTACCCCATAATGAGGCTGTTAATGTAGTCGTTCCCGTCCATGTGGCCAAACTGGAAGTCTCTGGAGGAGTGAGACAAATCAGAGGCGTGAGAAAGTGAAACCGTGCTTCAGAAAAACACACACACACACACAGACAAAGACGTGGAAAAAAAGAGCAGCTTTTCTGCACATCTCAACGGACTGTGTAACCTAGAACAAACTGGGACACTGTATACTCTCGCTGCACAATAGGGCACAAATATGAAACCCAGACTTTTTTTTTTTTTGTCCGTCCTCCTCCCACGGCTCCGTCATGCGCCGGTTCCTGTTTCTCCCCGGCTTTTTCATTGCAGAAAAGGACTCAGGTGATTTATATCAAAATGATAAGGAACGGAGCAGGAATTCAATTTGTTTCTCATTGTGCTGCAGCGTGTCTGAGCAGAGAGACTCCAAAAGGAGAGGGAAGTGAAATCAGAGGACAAGGCCTGGGAAGCCGGTGACGTCCACAGAATGACTGATTACAGGTTGTCCCATATACACTCTATCTTATATTCCTATTGAATCACAGCCACACGGGCCATATTTGTCCGCCGGGAATTTAGGAGCCGCGTCTGCGCCGATTTCAGTGACACGTTTATGAAGAATCTGGACTATAATAAATGGACTGGCTGCGGCGGTTAGTGATAATAACCACACGGTGGTGACACGGCCGAGGAAGTGGAGCGGCCGTGGTGCGACCTGAAGGATGCGGGGCTCGGTTCTGCAGCTTCTTCAGAGAGTGGGACAGCGTGTCCTTGAGGAAGACGATGAACTTGTAACAGTTCCCAGATCAGCGGAGTGTGAATGTGGCTCTGGATTAATGGGCGGACGACGCGTATAAATTTGAAAGAGCTCTGACTCAGCAGCTCGGGACTTTAAGCCGGGCATGAAAGCGAGAACGAGGGGAGCAGACCGGGATAAAGGTCATGAACAGGTCAGGTTGTAGCTGGAAGTAGGCGGTCGATCTCCAAACCAATCAATCACAACATTTCTTTTAAAATCCACCACTAGTCGATCAGTCAGTGTTTGATATCATGGAATTTTTCATGCAAATTTTAGCTGCTCTTCCTGTGCTACTGTACGTCATCTTCTTTGAAAAACAAGTTGTTTTTTTTGGGGCGACCTCAGCTGCTTTATTCTTTTTGGTTTTTAGCTATTTTCATTGCAATTGTAAAATATGTTTTTTAAATATCACTGGTTGAGTGTCTTTTGTTCTATCTTTTTTTTTTTAAATCTAAATTTACATTTACTTCTCGTGCAGACTGGTTTGCAGACGGAGTCGTGCAGCTCCAGAGGTCTTTGTGGCACAGCTGCCAACAGGCTTCATCGTGATAAAAATTCATGTCTGGTCTTGTTGCACCATCCGTCTGTGCATCAGAGCCAAGGCAGTAGTGAAGGGTGCAGAGTTCTAACAATAATCACAAACACTGACTGATTCAAAAGAGGCTTCCCCACAACAACACCACACACACACACACACTCTGCCTTCTACAAACTCTGATTCTCTTGCCCTCTCTGAAATTGTAACTCATTGTTTTTGTCAGAACTCCAAATGTCAATTTTTCAACCGCGCCGCCTCCACCCACCACTGGGGGCGACAGGTCAAGCGTTTGTGATGTGTCAGAAAACGAGCAGCAGCTCTGATCGCTGCATGGCGTCTTAATTGAAAAACAAAACAAAAAAAATAAAGTGTGTTGTTGTTGTGACTGACAGATTTCTAATTGATGACGGGAATCTGTGGGATTCAATCAGTGCTAATGGGAATACCTGCAGAGAACAAACACTTTGATGATGGCTGTTTGAGATGCAGAAATATATGCGATGAAGCCCCCCACCCCCTCGTCAGTGACGGGACGGAGGGAAGAAATTATGCCCAACGTGTTTCAATGGATCACTATCATACAAAAAAAAAAAACACTTGTAATGTGTCAACCCTCTGGGCCTGATAAGAGACGAACAGCCACTGTGGAGAGACTTTAGACATGACTGGAATTTAACTTTTTTTTTTTCCACCCAAGTTTTCTCATCACACTGTAAATATACACACATATATATATATATATATATATATATATATATATATATATATATATATATA